ATCGGATTTATATATACTGGTAAGGATAAAGAAAAACTTTTTAAAAGTTAATAGAAAGTGAGTACTAATGTAAAACTAAAAACGATATTTTTTATTTTGTTGATAGATGGTTTTTTTTAAATCTTTAGAAAACATCGAGGTAACAGTGGAAAATGTTCAAGAGTTAATTGTAGCTGCAAACATACTTGAAATTCACCATGCTGTACGTGTTTGTACAGACTTTCTTAAGAGTGAACTTCATCCATCCAATGCTTTAGGAATTTACAGGTACGGTTTGATGATTCAGTTCAGTTGATTATGTTACCTATATGTACGTACAATAAATAAATCTATTAGGAATAAATCCATTGTTTTTGTTTTTTAAACAGGTTTGCTGAGGTCCATTATTTAGTAAACCTGCTGTCTGCTTCGCAGGACTTCATCTTTTCTAATTTCGTAGAAATTACAATGGAACAAGAGTTTCTTGAAATTCCTAAAGAAATTCTACTGTATTTTTTGGAGTCAGAGTATCTTCATATTGACTCTGAGTTGCAGGTAAATATTTATATACGCTATTTTTTTATTTAATAGTAGACCCCCAAACAATCAAATTTATCTACCTTTTCTTTCTTTATTGTATTACAGGTATTCTCTGCTGCCATCAGATGGATTACACAAGATATAACTAATAGACATTGTTGGATTTATGACATTTTGAAACCAGTGAAATTGGCTTTAATTCCAAGTAAACTAATAAAAAAATCAATTAATGAGTGCTCTAATATCAATCTGAAGGTTATTCTTAAACAGCAGAGGACGACATTTTTAAGGGACGAAAGGGAAGCCTCGTATATCCAGCCAAGAATTTGTCTTCGAAAGAAAATTTATGTTATAGGTGGATGGAAACTATCAGAGGAGTATAGTTTAAAAAGTGTCGAATGTGTTGATACCTTTAGGCAGAAATGGCAGAAAGTTGGCCCTATGAAAATTGAGAGATGTGGGCCAGGAGTAGCAGTCTTACATGGGAAAATTTTCGTTGTTGGAGGGAGTGGAGAGGACAGTCAGATTTGGGCAGATGGCGAAGTTTATGATCCACAGGAAGATTATTGGACTGGAATATCTTCTATGGTGATCCCACGGTCTAATTTTGGATTATGCGCTCATGGAGGTTTTCTCTATGCCTTCGGTGGTTGGACGGGATTGGTCATCGAAAAAAGTATTGAAAGATATGACCCTATTGCAGATGAGTGGACATTATTAGAGTCAAATATGCCAGAAGGTAGATCCAAGTAAGTACAATAACAATTTTCAAAGTGAAATTACTGACTGATAGTGTGTGTGTAAACTACTGATAATAATAAGAGAAGAGAAAATGTAGTATTGACCTGTACTTGTCTTTTTTTCTTCTCCCTCTTTTTTTTTACAGTATGGGTATAGTAGAACATCGAGGTCTTATTTACATTGTTGGTGGAGTTGGTGCGGGATATTATTTCATCCGCCTGTGTAATCTTCTCTCATACAATCCTGTGACTGGGTATTGGAAGAATCTAGCACCAATGATAGCACTACATAAGAAGATAGGTGTTGCAGTTTTGGATAACTTTTTATATGTAGTAGGTGGTGGTATTCGGAACAATTATGAAAAAAAATCAATGCAAAGATATTCTTTTGAACAGGTAAGATTATTTACCAGTGCAAAACTTATAAATTCTTATTTTTATATACATTTACCAGCGCTGTTCTTATGAATTCTTCTTATTAAATCAAAAATTTTATTTATTTTTTTTTTTTATTGCAACTCTCACTTTCTTTTTCTTTTCTTTTGTTATATTGCAGGTATTCTCTGCTGCCATCAGATGGATTACACAAGAAATAACTGATAGACTTTGTTGGATTATTGACATTTTAAAACGAGTGAAATTATCTTTAATTTCAAGTAAACTAATAGAAAAATCAATTAATGAGTGCTCTGACATCAGATTGAAAGTTAACCTTAAACAGCAGATAAACTTGGCTAAAGAGGAAGCCTCCTTTTATGTCCAGCCAAGAATTTGTACTCGAAAGAAAATTTATGTCATAGGTGGATCAAAGGACGAACTCATTATATTATGGAATAGATCATCAGAGGAATATATGTTTAAAAGTGTCGAATGTTTTGATACCTTTAGGCAGAAATGGCAGAAAGTTTGCCCCATGAAAAATAAAAGAATTTTACCAGGAATAGCAGTCTTACATGGAAAAATTTTCGTTGTTGGAGGGGTTGGAGAAGAGATACTCTCTCCGATTTTGGCAGTTGGCGAAGTTTATGATCCAAGTTTGCCCCATAAAAAATAAAAGCTATGCCTTCGGTGGTTGGACAGGATCGGTTATGGAAAAAAATATTGAAAGATATGACCCTATTACAGATGAGTGGAGATTATTAGAGTCAAATATGCCAGAAGCTAGAAAAAAGTAAGTACAATTGTAATTTTAAAAATCAACCATTTTCAAATTAGATTTACTGACTGATAGTAACTGATAATGAGAAAATGTAGCAGTAGCCTGTACTGTTTTTTTTTCTTTTTCTCCTTTTCTTTTCTTTTACAGCATGGGTATAGTAGAACATCGAGGTCTTATTTACATTATTGGTGGATATACGGACACTTACACCCCCTGTGTGATCTTCTCTCATACAATCCTGTGACTGGGGAGTGGAAGAATCTAGCACCAATGCTAGGTCCACCTTTAACACGATAGGTGTTGCAGTTTTGAATAACTTTCTTGTACGTAGTAGGTGATATTGAGATGGAAATCAATGGAAAGATATTCTTTTGAACAGGTAAGATTATGAGATTATATACAATAAGGTTTGAATTTCAATATTGTAGCCAGGATGTGGAACAATTTGTAATACTTAGTGAAAAGGGATAAAAATTTTATGACCTCCCTCCCTTCCTTTTACCTTTTTTCTTTTACTTTCCCACAGAACAAATGGTTTAAGTGTTCATCAATGTATTTCGGTCATAGCCCAGCAGTTGTTGCTACAAATTCTCTGTTATATGTCATAGGCGGTGACACAGTAGAAATTATGATAGACTGGTAAGGAAGAATGAAAAGAATGCTTAATGAAAAATGATAATATTTATTAATAATCTTTATAATCCAAAGTTTTAACCTCACTTTTTTTTTTTTTTAGATATCTGTCGCTAATGTGGAGTATTTCGACCCTAAGAATAATAGGTGGATAAACTGTACATCACTCCCTGAGGGTCGGTCTGATGCTAGAGCAGTTTCAATTTAACTCACTCGAAACCTTAACCTTCAAACCCTCTCTCATATCATTCCCATATATATTACATATATTAGTTTTTTAGTTATATATGAGGATGGCGGCGGCACGTGTGGAGCTCTCTGATAACGGAGAGGAGTGTAATTATCCTTATCCAAACAACCTGCTAGAGAACCTAAATTCACTCTGGCAGTTACAAAAGTTCTGTGATGTAGAAATATCAGTTGATGGATCAGTTGTGAAGGTGAGAAAACATTATTTTAACTTTTTTATTATTTGTTGTCAATAATTGAAAAAAAATATCTTGTATATGTATACAATCAACCAAATTCTTTTATTATTATTCCAGGCTCACCGTGTAATACTCTCGGCGGGAAGTAATTATTTTAAGGCCATGTTTACCTGTGGATTAACTGAGGAAACAACATATTCTTCAATAGAAATTAAATCTATGAAATTTAATATATTAGAGCAGATCATCGGATTCATATATACTGGTAAGTAACATTTTAAGTTTTCATATTTATAAAAAAAAACGGTATTTTTATTTTGTTATTTATATCTTAATCTTTAGGAAACATCGAGGTAACAGCTGAAAACGTTCAAGAGTTAATAGTTGTTGCAAACATGCTGGTAGTTCCCCACGTTGTACGTATTTGCACAGACTTTCTCAGGAGTGAACTTCATCCATCCAATGCTTTAGGAATTTACAGGTAACTAATTTTTATTTTGTAATTTTTTTATTCTTGTTCGGTTCTGTTTTAATTTGATTAATTCTGATTCGATCTGATTCGATTCTAAAGAGGGTGTGTTTATTTTTTTTTTTTACAGGTTTGCTGAGGCCTATTATTTAGTAAGCTTGTTGAATGATTCGCGGGACTTCATCTTCTCCAATTTCGTAGAAGTGACAATGGAGCAAGAGTTTCTTGAGATTCCGAAAGAAATTCTGCTGTATTTTTTGGATTCAGAGTATCTTCATATTGACTCTGAGTTTCAGGTAATTATTAGATATTTTTCTTTTTATTTAATATTTATTTATTAAATCAAAAATCTAATTTTTTTTGTGGTTTATTGCAGCTAGCTCACTTTCTTTTTCTTTTGTTATATTGCAGGTATTCTCTGCTGCCATCAGATGGATTACACAAGAAATAACTGATAGACTTTGTTGGATTCTTGACATTTTAAAACGAGTAAAATTATCTTTAATTTCAAGTAAACTAATAGAAAAATCAATTATGAGTGCTCTGACATCAGATTGAAAGTTAACCTTAAACTGCAGATAAATTTGGCTAAAGAGGAAGCCTCCTTTTATGTCCAGCCAAGAATTTGTACTCGAAAGAAAATTTATGTCATAGGTGCAAGGAACGAATGGAATAGATTCAAGATGTTTAAAAGCTTCAAGTTGTGTAAAAGTGTAGAATGTTTTGATACCTTTAGGAAGGAATGGCAGAAAGTTTGCCCGATGAAAAAAAAAAGTGAAAGGCCAGAAATAGCAGTCTTACATGGGAAAATTTTCGTTGTTGGAGGGAGGGGACCCAGACCCTTTCCGATTTTGGCGGATGGCGAAGTTTATAATCCACAGGAAGATAATTGGACTGGGATATCTTCTATGGTTACCCCACGATGTGATTTTGGATTATGCGCTCATGGAGATTACCTTTATGCCTTCGGTGGTTGGACGGGATCGGTCGTCGAAAAAAGTATTGAAAGATATGACCCTATTACAGATGAGTGGAGATTATTAGAATCAAATATGCCAGAAGCTAGAAAAAAGTAAGTACAATTGTAATGTTAAAAATCAACCATTTTCAAATTAGATTTACTGACTGATAGTAACTGATAATGAGAAAATGTAGCAGTAGCCTGTACTGTTTTTTTTTCTTTTTCTCCTTTTCTTTTCTTTTACAGGATGGGAATAGTAGAACATCGAGGTCTTATTTACATTATTGGTGGATATACGTACACTTACAATCCCCTGCATGATCTTCTCTCATACAATCCTGTGACTGGGGAGTGGAAGAATCTAGCACCAATGCTAGGTCCACCATCTAAGACGATAGGCGTTGCAGTTTTAGATAACTTTTTGTACGTAGTAGGTGATAATAATGGGAAAAAATCAATGGAAAGATATTCTTTTGAACAGGTAAGATTATGAGATTATATACGATAAAGTTTGAATTTTCAATTTATAATACTTAGTGAAAAGGGATAAAAATTTTATGACCTCCCTCCCTTCCTTTTACCTTTTTTCTTTTACTTTCTCACAGAACAAATGGTTTAAGTGTTCATCAATGTATTTCGGTCATAGCCCAGCAGTTGTTGCTACAAATTCTCTGTTATATGTCATAGGCGGTGACTACAGTAGAAATTATAATAGCCTGGTAAGGAAGAATGAAAAGAATGCTTAATGAAAAATGATAATATTTATTAATAATCTTTATAATCCAAAGTTTTAACCTCAAACTATTTTTTTTTCTTTTTAGATATCTGTCGCTAATGTGGAGTATTTCGACCCTAAGAATAATAGGTGGATAAACTGTACATCACTCCCTGAGGGTCGGTCTGATGCTAGAGCAGTTTCAATTTGACAATCTTATCTGAACTACCTACTGATGTAGAAATATTATCAGCTGATGGATCAGTTGTGAAGGTGAGCGAGAAATATATTTTTTGCATACAATCACATCAGCTGCCTCACTTATGGGAAGACTGCCACAACCATCCCAGAGACAAATAAAAAAAAATCTGATGTGCCCTTACACTTCCTCACTCTCCCTTACACCCCCTCACTCTCCCCTCCTTCTAGTCACAGCCCAGCCGGCATTTGATATTATTAACATAAAATGAACCGGAAACTTGATATCTCTTCTCTCCCAAGCTCAAGATCAAGAATATCCCACGAGAAACTTTAAAGTCTCTTCATCCTCCTCTCATCTCTCTTCAACACACACACTTAAAATAAAAAAATAAAATACTTCTGTTGCTGGCTGTAGTTTATAGTTTTGTTACTGTTTGAAGAAGCAACAGAAGAATCACCACCACAACCACCACCACTACCACCACCACCACCACCATCACCACGGGTATTACCAGATATCACCACACCACCACTAAAAACAAAACTGACAACTGGTTAGTATTACATTAGTATCTGAAGATGGCGGCTGCACGTGTGGAGATCTCTCATTACGAGGAGGAGGAGGAGGAGGAGTGTAAATCTTATCCTAACTACCTGCAAGACTGCATACATTTCCTCTGGCAGTTACAACAGTTATGTGATGTAGAAATATTATTAGCTGATGGATCAATTATGAAGGTGAGTGAGTGATATATGAGTGATATATTTACCTATGAGTAAAGAAACATTTACCTCCAACCTACATATCTTTCTCTGCCCTCCATCACCCAAATCTTAAAAAACAAAAACTGATGGATTACATTTTATTTCACAGGCTCACCGTGGAATACTGTCAGGAGGAAGCGATTATTTTAAGACAATGTTTACGTGTGGATTTGCTGAGAAAACAACACAGTCAATAGAAATGAAGTCTATGAAACCCAATATATTACAACTGCTCGTCCACTTCATATATACTGGTAAGGGAAAACATTTTAAGTTTTCATAATGCTGCTATACTTATATTTAAATTAAAACGAAATACATTATGAATAAAAAACTTTTTTTTAATACTTTAGGAAAAATGAAGATAACAGTGGAAAATGCACAGGAGTTAATTGCGGCTGCGAACATGCTGATGATGTCCCGTGCTGTACGGTTTTGTACAGACTTTCTTAAGAGTGAACTTCATTCATCTAATGCTATGGGAATTTACCGGTATGTGCAGTATAATAATTAATTATTTTCAAACTATTTATATAATACGACGTAACTAATTCCATATTGTTTTTTTTTTTAACAGGTTTGCTAAGGCCCATTATTTAGTAAGGTTGCTGCATTCTTCGCGGGATTTCATCTTTTCCAATTTCGTAGAAGTGACAATGGAGGAAGAATTTCTTGAGATTCCGAAAGAAATTCTACTGTATTTTCTTGAGTCAGAGTATCTTCATATTGACTCTGAGTTTCAGGTAAAATAATTTTTTTTATTTAATATTACAAACTTTCAACTGACTTTATATAATAAAGTTTTAATCCCCAACTATCAAAATTAACTTTCTCTATTATTTATTGCAGGTATTCTCTGCTGCTATTAGATGGATTACACGAAGAACTAATAGATATGGTTGTTGGTATTTTGACATTTTAAAACGAATGAAATTATCTTTAATTTCAAGTAAACTAATAGAAAAATTAATTAATGAATGCTCCTCTGATATTAGATTTAAGGTTAACCTTAAACAGCAGACAAACTTGGCGGCCAAAAGGGCAGCCTTATATGTCCAGCCAAGAATTTGTACTCGAAAGAAAATTTATGTCATAGGTGGATCAAAGAAAGAAAACTATTACCAAAATAAATTTAAAAAAAGTGTCGAATGTTTTGATATCTTTAGGCAGATATGGCAGAAAGTTTGCCCCATGAAAATTGTGAGAAATTCACCAGGAATAGCAGTCTTACATAGAAAAATTTTCGTTGTTGGAGGGATTGGAAAGGAGAGTCAGATTTTGACGGATGGCGAAGTTTATAATCCACAGGAAGATTATTGGACTGGAATATCTTCTATGGTGATCCCACGGTGTAATTTTGGATTATGCGCTCATGGAGGTTATCTCTATGCCTTCGGTGGTTGGATGGGATCGGTTATGGAAAAAAGTATTGAAAGATATGACCCTATTACAGATGAGTGGAGATTATTAGAGTCAAATATGCCAGAAGGTAGATCCAAGTAAGTACAATAACAATTTTCAAATTGGATTTACTGACTAATAGTATGAACACTGATAATAATGAGAAAATATAACAGTGCCTGTACTTTTTTTCTTTTTACAGCATGGGTATAGTAGAACATCAAGGTCTTATTTACATTGTTAGTGGATATATGGACTTTTACAACCCCATGCATGATCTTCTCTCATACAATCCTGTAACTGGGGAGTGGAGAGCACTAGCAGGACGTGCTCCACCTCGCTACAACTACATGGGTGTTGCAGTTTTGAATAACTTTTTGTATTTAGTGGGTGGCCTTCTTTTTAATGAAGAAGCGGAAAAATCACTAGAAAGATATTCTTTTGAACAGGTAATATGCATGCAATACAATTTGAATTACAGTAGTGAAAAGGGAGTAAAAATTGTATAACAGAAGAATTTTTGTAATACTGTAGTGTAGTGAAAAGAGGGAGTAAAAATTTTATAACCTCCCCTCCCTTCTTTTCCTTCCACAGAACAAATGGTTTAAGTGTTCATCAATGAATTTTGATCGAAGTATCCCAGCAGTTGTTGCCACAAATTCTCTGTTATATGTCATAGGAGGTCACCGTCAAAATGACCTTAATAGATTGGTAAGAAAGGAAGAATGGCAATGGAAGAATGAAATGAATTAATTATATAGAATGAATTATATTACAATTTTAACCTCTAACTATTTTTTTTAGATTTTAACCTCTAACTTTTTTTTTAGGTATCTGTCGCTAATGTGGAATATTTCGACCCGAAGAATAATAAGTGGATGAACTGTACATCACTCCCTGAGGGCCGGTCTTATGCTAGAGCAGTCTTAATTTGACTCCCTAAACCTTCCTCAAGACTGACATTATCTTCATATTTAATCCATTTAAAATAAAAAAAGTTTGCTTTCTATCTTTTAATTTAACTTACCTAATATGAAATTTGAAAGTATCCTTATAATTAATTAGTATCTGAAGCTGCATGTGTGAAGCTTTCTCATAACAAGGAGGAGGAATGTAAATCTTATCCTAACTACCTGACGATATACATTTCCTCTGGCAGTCAGAAAAGTTATGTGATGTAGAAATATTATTAGCTGATGGATCAGTTGTGAAGGTGAGTAAGTGGCGGTTACGGTTATCATAACTTGATAAGGAAGAATGGAAATAAGAATAAAATATATTAATAATTCCTAAATATTTTTAAAATAATGCTTTATAATAAGTTTTAATCTAAAACCTGAGGATAAAAAGTGGAGAAACTGTACACCACTCCCTGAGGAACGGTCTAATGATGCTTTAGTAGTCTAATTTGACTGCTTTAAGAATTTACAGGTACGTACAGTATAATAATTAATATTATTTTCTTGTTTTGATGTTTTTTATTTGTATATGTACGTATACAATGCAGAATTTGAACTAAATCCCATTTTTTTTTTTCTGTTGGGGGAACAGGTTTGCTGAGGCCCATAATTTAGTATCGTTACTGCATTCTTCACGGGACTTCATCTTGACCAATTTCGTGGAAGTGACAAAGGAGCAGGGGGCTTGAAGAGAAACCTTCCTCAAGGGGGCTTGAAGAGAAACCTTCCTCAAGACTGACATTATCTTCATATTTAATCCATTTAAAATAAAAAAAAAGCTTGCTTTCTATCTTTTTAACTTACCTAATATGAAATTTGAAAGTAATAAAGAACGACCAAAGCTGTCTAACCGGCCAAGATTAGTTAGGATAAGTGTGTAGCTTAAAAAAAAGGCATCCAAAACATTAATTCAAAAGTTTTCTTTGAGCTGCTGTGACACAACTGGTAATAGCTAAGGTTGCTTATCACATACGTTACAGCAAAACTTTGCTTCCTTGTCATGTGACTTATGCTTAACTATAGTGAAAAAGAAGTAAAAAATTGTCATATAGAGGGAGTATTTTGATCCTTAAGGATAACAAATGAAGAAACTGTACACCCCTGAGGAACGGTCTGATGAGTAAAAAAGTGTATATTTTTTTGCTTTTTTTATCCAGGTCTTCTTTAATAGGCCCCAGGGTTAATGGGGCCAGCCTCTAATCTTGATGGGCCCTTAGTCTTAATAGGCCCCAGTTTTAATGGGTACTCAACTAACTTAACACACAAATATTACATATTATTAAATTACCCCAACATATTGAAAGAAAGAGGCTGCTGGCTGTAGTTTAGTTTTGTTATTGTTTGAAGAAGCAACGGAAGCACCACCACCACCACCACCACCACCACCACGGGTATTACCAGATATCACCACACAACTAAAAACAAAACTGACAACTGGTTAGTATTACATTAGTATCTGAAGATGGCGGCTGCACATGTGGAGCTCTCTCATCACAAGGAGAAAGAGGAGGAGGAGGAAGAGGAGCAGGAGAAGGAGGAGGAAGAGGAATGTAAATCTTATCCGAACTACCTGCTAGACTACATACATTTTCTCTGGCAGTCACAAGAGTTATGTGATGTAGAAATATTATTAGCTGATGGATCAGTTGTGAAGGTGAGTAAGTGAAACATCTGTAAGTGAAGAAACATTTACTCCTACCTACATATCTTTCTCTGCCTGCCCTCCATCACCCACCCACCATTTACACACATATAGGGGGAGGGAAACTTAACTACACTGCCCACATTCACCGTCCGTTTAGGAGAAGTCAGTGGAACATGGTTTAACAAAGTATATCCAGTACAGTAGAAGAAATTTCCCTGTTCCCCCAACTTCCCTTCTTCTCCGACACAAATAAAGAGTTACTTTCCAACTTTCTTCGCACGAGAGAATCAATGTTTCCAAGCAGTGATTTGATTTGGGCGGTTTGCTTCCTAGCAGTGGTTTGATTTGGGCGGCTTGCTTCCTAGCAGTGGTTTAATTTTGTTGTCTGTCCGTCCATAATTCTCTCACTTTTATGTAATCTGATGGGATTACATTTTATTCCACAGGCTCACCGTGTAATACTGTCAGCGGGAAGCAAATATTTTAAGACCATGTTTACGTGTGAATTTGCTGAGAAAACAACACAGTCAATAGAAATGAAGTTCATGAAACCCAATATATTACGACTGCTCGTCGACTTCATATATACTGGTAAGGGAAAATATTTTAAGTTTTCATAGTGCTATGCTGCTATCTATATGTAAAATTTTTATTTTGTTGCAAATGAATAAATGATTTTTTTTTTCTTTTTTTGTCAAAAACTTTAGGAAACATCGAGATAACAGTGGAAAATGCACAGGAGTTAATTGCGGCTGCGAACATGTTGATGATATCACGTGCTGTACTTGTTTGTATAGACTTTCTCAAGAGTGAACTTCATCCATCTAATGCTTTGGGAATTTACCGGTACGTGCAGTATAATAATAATAGTTAATTATTTTCCAACTGTTTATATAATATGTATTTTTATCTGTCCTATACGTAATTTTTTTCTTTTTTTTTTTAAAAACAGGTTTGCTGAGGCCCATAATTTAGTAAGGTTGCTGCATTCTTCCCGGGACTTCATCTTCTCCAATTTCGTAGAAGTAACAATGGAGCAAGAATTTCTTGAGATTCCGAAAGAAATTCTGCTGTATTTTTTGGATTCAGAGTATCTTCATATTGACTCTGAGTTTCAGGTAAAATGTAAATATTTTTTTTTTATTTAATATGTACAACTTTCAATTGACTTTTATTTACAAGATTATTAACCCGAATTTATCTTTCTATTATTTATTGCAGGTATTCTCTGCTGCTATCAGATGGATTACACAAGCACAAGATATAAATAATAGATATTGTTGTTGGAATTTTGACATTTTAAAACGACTGAAATTGCCTTTAATTTCAAGTAAACTAATAAAAAAAGCAATTAATGAGTGCTCCGCTGATATTAAATTGAAGGTTAACCTTAAAAAGCAGACAAACTTGGCTAAAAAGGAAGCAGCCTTTTCTGTCCAGCCAAGAATTTGTACTCGAAAGAAAATTTATCTCATAGGTGGATTCATGAAAGAACTCTATATATCAGATGGGTTTACATTTAAAAGTGTCGAATGTTTTGATATCTTTAGGCAGAAATGGCAGAAAGTTTGCCCTATGAAAATTGTGAGAAGTTCACCAGGAATAGCAGTCTTACATGGGAAAATTTTCGTTGTTGGAGGGAGTGGAGAGGACAGTCAGATTTGGGCAGATGGCGAAGTTTATGATCCACAGGAAGATTATTGGACTGGAATATCTTCTATGGTGATCCCACGGTCTGATTTTGGATTATGCGCTCATGGAGGTTTTCTCTATGCCTTCGGTGGTTGGACGGGATTGGTCATCGAAAAAAGTATTGAAAGATATGACCCTATTGCAGATGAGTGGACATTATTAGAGTCAAATATGCCAGAAGGTAGATCCAAGTAAGTACAATAACAATTTTCAAATTGGATTTACTGACTGATAGTGTGAACTACTGATAATAATGAGAAAATATAAGTGCCTATACTTTTTTTTTTTTTTTACAGAATGGGTATAGTAGAAAATCAAGGTCTTATTTACATTGTTAGTGGACGTATGGACTCTTATAACCCCTTTCATGAACTTCTCTCATACAATCCTGTAACTGGGGAGTGGAGAGATCTAGCAGCACTGAGTGCTCCACCTCGCTACAACTACATGGGTGTTGCAGTTTTGAATAACTTTTTGTATTTAGTGGGTGGTCTTTTTAATGAAGAAGGGGAAAAATCACTAGAAAGATATTCTTTTGAACAGGTAATGTGCATGCTTATAATTATATACAATACAATTTGAATTATAGTAGTGAAAAGGGAGTAAAAATTGTATAACTCCCTTCTTTTCTCTTTCCAAAGACAATAATAATAATTTAAGTAATATGGGAGAAGAATTTTTGTAATACTGTAGTGTTGTATAACCTCCCTTCTTTTCCTTTCCACAGAACGAATGGTTTAAGTGTTCATCAATGAATTTTTGGCGAAGTATCCCAGCAGTTGTTGCCACAAATTCTCTGTTATATATCATAGGTGGTCATCGTCCCAATGACCACCTTGAACTGGTAAGAAAGGAAGAATGGAAATGGAAGAATGAAATGAATAAATTATATTACAAATTTAACCACCTAACCACCTGTTTTTTTTTCTAAAGGTATCTGTCGCTAATGTGGAGTGTTTCGACCCTAAGACTAATAAGTGGATGAACTGTACATCACTCCCTGAGGGCCGGTCTTATGCTAGAGCAGTCTTACTTTAACTCCCTTCGACATCCCCAATCAAGAAAACTTCCCTCAAGACTGACATTTGTCTCCTCCATATTTAATCCATTTTAAATAAAAAAAAGCTTGTTTCCTATCTTTTTTAACTTACCCTAACATGAAATTTGAAAGTATTCTTATAAAGTATCCTTGTGGATCAATGGTACCATTGTTTAATTTTGTCGAAATATCCCAGCAGTTGTTGCCTGCCACAAATCCTCTGTTATGTCATAGGCGGTTACGGTTATCATAACTTGGTAAGGAAGAATGGAAATAAGAATAAAATATATTAATAATTCCTAAATATTTTTATAATAATCCTTTATAATAAGTTTTAATCTAAAACCTGAGGATAAAAAGTGGAGAAACTGTACACCACTCCCTAAGGAACGGTCTAATGATGCTTTAGTAGTCTCAATTTGACTCGAAACCTTGAGTCTATCCCTCCTCCTAATCACAGCCTATTAACATAAAATGTACCGGGAACTTGATATATTAATGCTAGAGCAGTCTCAATTTACTCTCTTCTCTCCCAAGCTGACAACTGGTTAGGTTAGTCTTACATTAGTATCTGAAGATGGCGGCTGCACGTGTGGAGGAGCTCTCTCATCACGAGGAGGAGGAGGAGGAGGAGGAGGAGGAATGTAAATCTTATCCTAACTACCTACTAGACGATATACATTTCCTCTGGGAGTCAGAAAAGTTATGTGATGTAGAAATATTATTAGCTGATGGATCAGTTGTGAAGGTGAGTGAGTGAAACATTTATCTGTGAGTGAAGAAACATTTCTCTGCCTGCCCTCCATCACCCACCCATCATTTACACACCATATCGGGGGAGGGAAACTTAACTACACCGCCCACACTCACCCTCCATTCCTTATTACCGCCCAGGAGAAGTCAGTGGAACATGATTAACAAAGTCTATCCAGTGCAGTGGAAGAAATTTCCCTGCTCTCCCCTAACTTCCTTTCTCCCCCGACACAAATACTTAACTACACCGCCCACACTCACCCTCCATTCCTTATTACCGCCCAGGAGAAGTCAGTGGAACATGATTAACAAAGTCTATCCAGTGCAGTGGAAGAAATTTCCCTGCTCTCCCCTAACTTCCTTTCTCCCCCGACACAAATAAAGAGCTGTTTATCCAACTTTCTTCTCACGATAGAATCAATGTTTCCTAGCAGTACTTTGATTTGGGCTTGCTTCCTAGCAGTGGTTTAATTTTGGTTTGCTTCCAGGTAATGGTTTGATTTTGTTGTCCGTCCGTCCATAATTCTCTCACTTTTATGTAACTTCACAAAACCTATGCTATGACAACGACTCTTCACCCAGATTTTTACGTCCCCTTAATGTATGTATAAAGGCAGTATGAACGAACTAACAAATTTAAAAAAATAAACGATGGAGATTACATTTTATTCCACAGGCTCACCGTGTAATACTGTCAGCGGGAAGTGACTATTTTAAGACCATGTTTACGTGTGGATTTGCTGAGAAAACAACACAATCAATAGAAATGAAGTCTATGAAACCCAATATATTAAAACTGCTTATCGACTTCATATATACTGGTAAGGGAAAATATTTTAAGTTTTCATAGTGCTAAGCTGCTATCTATAAGTAAAATTTTTATTTTGTTGCAAATGAAGAAATGAAATATTTTTTTTTTCTTTTTTTGTAAAAATACTTTAGGAAACATCGAGATAACAGTGGGAAACGCACAGGAGTTAATTGTGGCTGCGAACATGCTGTTCATGCCCCGTGCTGTATTTGTTTGTACAGACTTTCTCAAGAGCGAACTTGATCCATCCAATGTTTTGGGAATTTACAGGTAACGAATTTTTATTTTGTTTCTGTTCTGTTTTAATTTGATTGATTCTGATTCGATCTAATCCTATTCTAGAGAGGATATTTTTTTATTTTTTTTATTTTTTTTTTTTTTACAGGTTTGCTCAGGCCCATTATTTAGTAAGCTTGTTGAATGGTTCGCGGGATTTCATCTTCTCCAATTTCGTAGAAGTGACAATGGAGCAAGAGTTTCTTGAGATTCCTAAAGAAACTCTACTATATTTTTTGGATTCTGAGTATCTTCATATTGACTCTGAGTTTCAGGTAAATATTATATATTTTTCTTTTTATTTAATATTTATTTATTGAAATTTTATTTATTTTTTCTTTTTTTATTGCAGCTCTCACTTTCTTTTTCTTTTCTTTTGTTATATTGCAGGTATTCTCTGCTGCCATCAGATGGATTACACAAGAAATAACTGATAGACTTTGTTGGATTCTCGATATTTTAAAACGAGTGAAATTGTCTTTAATTTCAAGTAAACTAATAGAAAAAGCAATTAATGAGTGCTCTGACATCAGATTGAAAGTTAACCTTAAACAGCAGATAAACTTGGCTAAAGAGGAAGCCTCCTTTTATGTCCAGCCAAGAATTTGTAATCGAAAGAAAATTTATGTCATAGGTGGATCAAGGAAAGAATTCAATATAATATGGAATAGATCAGAGGAATATCTACTTAAAAGTATCGAATGTTTTGATACCTTTAGGCAGAAATGGCAAAAAGTTTGTCCTATGAAAATTGGGAGAATTTCACCAGGAATAGAAGTCTTACATGGAAAAATTTTCGTGGTTGGAGGGGTTGGAGAGATAGACGCTCAGATTTTGGCGGATGGCGAAGTTTATGATCCACAGGAAGATTATTGGACTGGAATATCTTCTATGGTAATCCCACGGTGTGATTTTGGATTATGCGCTTATGGTGGTTATCTCTATGCCTTCGGTGGTTGGACGGATTCAATGGAAATAGGAAAAAATATTGAAAGATATAACCCTATTACAGATGAGTGGAGATTATTAGAGTCAAATATGCCAGAAGCTAGATCCAAGTAAGTACAATAACCAGTACAATAACAATTTTGATTTACTGATAGTGTGAATTACTAATAATAATAATGAGAAAATGTCGCAGTAACCTGTACTGTTTTTTCCTTTTTTTTTCTTTTTATAGCATGGGTATAGTAGAACATCGAGGTCTTATTTACATTATTGGTGGATATACGGACACTTACAATCCCCTGCATGATTTTCTCTCATACAATCCTGTAACTGGAGAGTGGAAGAATCTAACATCAATGCAAGGTCCACCGTCTAAGACGATAGGCGTTGCAGTTTTAGATAATTTTTTGTACGTAGTAGGTGATGGTATTCTGGATGAAAATTCAATGAAAAGATATTCTTTTGAGCAGGTAAGATTATTTACCAGTACTTAAAGTTTAATATTGTAACCAGGAAGTGGAAGAATTGTTGTAATACTTTAGGAACAAAGGGAAAAAATTGTATACCCCCCTCCCGCCCCCTTACTCTTGTTTTAACCTTTTTCTTTTACTTTCCCACAGAACCAATGGTTTAAGTGTTCGTCTTCAGAGTATTTGGGTCGAAGTAGCCCAGCAGTTGTTGTCACAAATTCTCTGTTATATGTCATAGGCGGTTACTGGAGTGGTTTGAATGGAATTGGAATGGTAAGGAAAGAAGAATAAAAGAATGATTAATATAAAATGATAAATATTGATAATAATATTTATAACTTTTTTTTTTCTTTTTAGATTTCTCTCGCTAATGTGGAGTATTTCGACCATAAGAATAACAAGTGGATAAGCTGTACACCACTCCCTGAAAGTCGGACTAATGCTATAGCAGTCTTAATTTGACTACTCGAAACTTTGAAAACCTATATACTGATTTCCTCCTCCTCCTCCTCCTTCAATCTCACTCATTCTTATTTTAGTAAATAAAACGCAAATAAATAAATGTATAGTTTTTTACTACCCTATATGATATAAAATTGTATTATTCTTTGTAAACTCTACCCAACCTATCCCAACATACTGCCAACTACCTGCTAGGTCACATTGCAAATTAGCCAATCGAGAAAACAAAAATAATAGAGGGTTGTATTATTCTTTGTAAACTCTACCCAACCTATCTCCCAACCTATCTCAACATACTGCCAACTACCTGCTAGGTCACATTGCAAATTAGCCAATCGAGAAAACAAAAATAATAGAGAAAACAAAAATACTCAGTTTTTCACATATATTTGCGGTTTTGTATTCTTGTAAACTCTCCCAACATACTGCCAACTACCTGCTAGGTCACATTGCAAATTAGCCAATTGAGAAAACAAAAATATTCAGTTTTTCACATATATAGGTTTTGCAGTATGTGATAAAAAAACAATGAATAAAATAATTTTAATAGTGTTTATTTGGGTTCGGTTAAAATAATAACAATGTGATTAAATCTTTTCCATTCCATACATTAAAGGAAATTTGAACATTTCATCCGGAATACTTTATTTTTTCATAAAGATCTGCATTCCTCTATGACGCAACAATAACAAAGGGGGGAATGTGATATCGTGTGAAGATTCTAATTCTAGAATAATGGTCTCTCCTGTAAGGGTAAGGGTTTTCACAAAGATGTTGTTTTCTTTTCCTTCTCTAATAAGTTGCAGTGTAGATTCCTTCTGGATATTGCAGTCGGAAAGAATGCGACAATCCTCCAACTGCTTACCAGCAAAGATCAATTTCTGCTGGTTTGGGGGGGTGCCTTCCCTATCCTGAATTTTGGCCTTTACATTTTCAATGGTGTCTGAAGGTTCTACTTCTAGGGTAATCTTTCCTGTAAATTTCACAAAGATCTGCATTCCTCCTCTAAGACGCAATACCAAATGGAGTGTAGATTCCTTCTGGATATTGTAGTCAGAAAGAATGCGACAATCCTCCAACTGCTTACCAGCAAAGATCAATCTCTGCTGGTCTGGGGGGATGCCTTCCTTATCCTGAATTTTTGCCTTTACATTTTCAATGGTGTCTGAAGGTTCTACTTCAAGAGTAATAGTCTTTCCAGTGAGGGTTTTCACGAAGATCTGCATGATGTACTGCAAAGAAAACAATTCATTAGTAAAATTTTAGCCAACAGTATAATTCTTAAATAATCTTAAATTTAAATATCTACAAGATTGTTGAGCATGTTATAGTAGGTAGCAAGGCAACCATTATATATGAAAACACAAGACTACTACATTAATATTTTATACACATATTGTACAGTACACATAAATCTTGGCTTTAACCAAAGTAACTAATACCCCCCCACACACACATACAGTATAGAGCAATAACATTTGCAGTCTATCTTCTGTGTAACCTAGCTATGCATATACAAATATAGAATAATAAAATTAAATACCTAGCATTTATGGGCTTTAGGCAGAAATGGCAGAAAGTTTGCCCAATGAAAATTGAGAGATGTGTAGGGCCAGAAGTAGCAGTCTTACATATAGAAATTGAACCGGCAGACGATGAACTTTATAATCCTGATCCGCTTTGGGAAGATAATTTGATCGGGGTATCTTCTATGGTGCTCCCATGGTGATTTTGGATTATGCGCTCATGGAGGTTATCTCTATACCTTTGGTGGTTTGACTGTCTTAGGAGTGTGGCTGTAGTTTAGTTTTGTTACTGTTGGAAGAAGCAACGGAAGCACCACCACCACCACCACCACCACCACTACGGGTATTACCAGATATCACCACACCACTAAAAATAAAACTGACAACTAGTTAGTATTACATTAGTATCTGAAGATGGCGGCTGCACGTGTGGAGCTCTCTCATAACGAGGAGGAGAAGGAGGAGGAAGAGGAATGTAAATCTTATCCGAACTACCTACTAGACTACATACATTTCCTCTGGCAGTCACAAGAGTTATGTGATGTAGAAATATTATTAGCTGATGGATCAGTTGTGAAGGTGAGTGAGTGAAACATTTACCTGTATTTATCTCCTACACTTTCTTCTCTGCCTGCCCTCCATCACCCACCTTTTATACCCATATCGAAGTACACCGTCCACACTCTACCCGCCGCCGCCCTAACTGCCCAGGAGTCTAGGACCAAGGAATAGTGGAAGAAATCTCCTAACTTCTCTGAATGCTTCCTAGAAGTGGTTTAATTTTTGGTTTGCTTCCTAGCAGTGGTTTGATTTTGGCTTGCTTCCTAGCAGTGGTTTTATTTGGGCTTCCTATTGTTCGACCAGTCTACATCTATAGGTACCTCACCGCACTGTTATTATGGCCTCTCTCATTTTACATCCTCCACTTGCCCCATGACCTCCTCCTATAGGTCCCAGGCCGTTACCAACACTTTTTCCTTCTCACAAAATATCCCTCCTCCCAGTCCTCCTCCCAGTCATAGGCCTGGTATTTGACGACATATTAATGTCACGTCAATCTTTATCATAACCAGGAACTCCCTCCCCCCCCCACCACCTACAAATTCAATCCATCTCTCATTTTTATTTAAACTTGACAAAACCTATGTTATGACGACGACCCTTCACCTAGACTTTTACGCCCCCTTAACGTACCCACCCCAATCAATAAACTAGCCCCCCTCGGGGACAAATAAAAAAAAATAAAAAAACTGATGGAGATTACATTTTATTCCACAGGCTCACCGTGTAATACTCTCGGCGGGAAGCAAATATTTTAAGACCATGTTTACTGGTGGATTAGCTGAAAAAACAACACAGTCAATAGAAATGAAGTTTATGAAACCCAATATATTAAAACTGCTCATCGAGTTCATATATACTGGTAAGGGAAAACATTTTAAGTTTTCATAGTGCTATGCTATATGTAAAACAAAAAGAAATAATTATAAATAGAAAATTTATTTTTGTTTTTTAAATACTTTAGGAAACATCAAGATAATAGTGGAAAACGCACAGGAGTTAATTGCGGCTGCAAACATGCTGATAATGTCCCGTGCTGTACTTGTTTGTACAGATTTTCTCAAGAGGGAACTTCATCCATCTAATGCTTTAGGAATTTACCGGTACGTACAGTATAATAATTAATTATTTTCAAACTATTTATATAATATGTATTTTTATCTGCACCTATACGTAACTAATTCCATATTTATTTTATTTTAAAAAACAGGTTTGCTGAGGCCCATAATTTAGTAAGGTTGCTGCATTCTTCCCGGGATTTCATCTTCTCCAATTTCGTAGAAGTGACAATGGAGCAAGAATTTCTTGAGATTCCGGAAGAATTCTGCTGTATTTTTTGGATTCAGAGTATCTTCATATTGACTCTGAGTTTCAGGTAAAATATAAATATTTTTTTTTATTTAATATGTACAACTTTCAATTGACTTTTACAAAAATTTGAACTCGAATTTATCTTTCTCTATTATTTATTGCAGGTATTCTCTGCTGCCATCAGATGGATTACACAAGCACAAGATATAAATAATAGATATTGTTGTTGGAATTTTGACATTTTAAAACGACTGAAATTGTCTTTAATTCCAAGTAAACTAATAGAAAAATCAATTGGTGAGTGCTCCGCTGATATCAGATTGAAGGTTAACCTTAAACAGCACACAAACTTGGCCAAAAGGGAAGCCTCGTATGTCCAGCCAAGAATTTCTACACGAAAGAAAATTTATGTCTTAGGTGGACAAAAGAGAGAAATCTGTGTCCCCTTTCGAAGAACAGATCTGTTTACATATAAAAGTGTCGAATGTTTTGATATCTTTAAGCAGAAATGGCATAAAGTTTGCCCCATGAAAATTGAGAGATGTGGGCCAGGAATAGCAGTCTTACATGGGAAAATTTTCGTTGTTGGAGGGGAGATAGAAATAAAAAAACGGGGACATGATAATCAGATTTTGGCAAATGGTGATGTTTATGATCCTCAGAAAGATAATTGGACCGGGATATCTTCTATGGTGCTCCCACGGTGTGATTTTGGATTTTGCGCTCATGGAGGTTATCTCTATGCCTTTGGTGGTTTGACTATCTTTAATCGTTGGACGGGATCGACCGATGCGGTCATATCCCAAACGATTGAAAGATATAACCCTATTGCAGATGAGTGGAGATTATTAGAGTCAAATATGCCAGAAGCTAGATCCAAGTAAGTACAATAACCATTTTCAAATTGGATTTACTGACTGATAGTGTGAACTACTGATAATAATGATAAAATGTAGCAGCGGCCTGTCTTTTTTTTTTTTTTTTTTTACAGCATGGGTACAGTAGAATATCAAGGTCTTATCTACATTGTTGGTGGATATACGTACACTCGCAAGCCCATGGGTGATCTTCTCTCATACAATCCTGTGACAGGGGAGTGGAAGAATCTACCACCAATGATAGGTCAACCAAACCCCTACAGGCACAACGACATTATGAGTGTTGCAGTTTTGGATAACTTTTTGTATGTAGTAGGTGGTGTTCAGGAGGAAAAATCAATGGAAAGATATTCTTTTGAACAGGTAAGATTATTTACCAGTGCTGTACTTATGAATTCTTACTATTATATACAACAAGATTTGAATTACAATGATGTAGCTAGGATGTGGAAGAATTTTTGTAATACTGTAGTGAAAAGGGAGTAAAACATTGTATAACCTCCCTCCTCCCCCCTTCCTTTTACCTTTCTTCTTTTACTTTCCCACAGAACAAATGGTTTAAGTGTTCATCAATGTATTTTGGTCGAAATATCCCAGCAGTTGTTGCCACAAATGTTGCCACAAATTCTCTGTTATATGTCATAGGTGGTGACAGTTCTGAGAACTGGGTAAGGAAGAATGGAAATAGAAAAATGAAATATATTAATATTCCTACATATCTTAATAATCAGTTTTAATCTAAAGCCTAAAGTATTTATTTTCTTTTTTTTTAGATGTCTGTCGCTAATGTGGAGTATTTTGATCCTAAGGATAACAAGTGGAGAAACTGTACACCACTCCCTGAGGAACGGTGTGGTGCTAGAGCAGTCTCAATTTGAGATTATATACAATAAGGTTTGAATTTCAATATTTTAGCCAGGATGTGGAACAATTTGTAATACTTAGTGAAAACGGATAAAAAATTGTATAACCTCCCTCCCTTCCTTTTACCTTTTTCTTTTATTTCCCCACAGAACAAATGGTTTAAGTGTTCATCAATGTATTTCGGTCATAGCCCAGCAGTTGTTGCTGCCACAAATTCTCTGTTATATGTTATAGGAGGTTATAGTATAAATTATGATGAACGATTGGTAAGGAAGAATGAAATAT